CCCCGTCAGTGCCCACGGCACGCCCGGGAAGGAGCAGGCGGTCGGCGCTCAGCTGCCACGGCGCTCTGCGCGGAGCTCGGAGAGGGCAGAGCGTGAGGACGCGGCAGCTGAGGGTGAAGGCGGGAGAGAGCGCGGGACAGGCAGAGACAACTGACTGTGACTGGAGGAGCGGCGTCCCCACCCACCCCTCACCTGGGGCCTTCTTTTCCCACGCCTGGCCTTCTGGGACTCCCCGGCCAGGCCAGCACCGGGCCCTCACCGAAGGCCTCTCTGGCCCCTGCAGGCAATGGCAGAGCAGCCAGCCAGCCGGTGCCCCAGGAGTGGCAGCCCCTCCGTCCGTGCTGATGGGGGTGGGGGCTAAATCTCCCACATGCCCACACACAGTGGGGTAACCGAGGCTCACCCTGTCTTCTAGGGACCTCGGTGGGGCGGGATCTCAGTGGCCCCCAGCGCCACCTGCTTGACACAGCACCTTTCCCAGGCTTTCATCTCCTCCAGTACAGGGTGCCTCATCCCTGTCTCGGGGTCTGTGTCCCAGGGTCTGTGTCCCAGGGAACCACACCGGCAGCCCTCACGCCCACGCCCGTGCCAGGGGCTGAGGTCTCGCTCCTTCCCCCAGGGCCGGAGGGGACTCTGACACACCCCCCTCTCCCTTGCCTGCGGTGACCTACATCTCCCTTCTGCTACTCGTCCCTGACCCTCACCCGTAGGCTGTCCCTTCCTGGGGAGAGGGGAGGGTGTGCACCCGAGAGGCCTCTCCCTCGGCCCTCCCAGACCCCCCGAGAGGCAGTGTCCTGGGGTGTCAGCTCACGGGCCCTGGCACTTCAGCCCAGGGCGGCGCTGCTTCCTGCCGTCTGTTTGGGAGCAGTCAGAAGACATGAGCAGATGTTTGGCTCGCACCCAGCCCGTTCACATCAGCCAACAGTAACAGGGCACGGAGACGCTGCGGGGAAGCAGGAAGGGTGGGGCTCCGGCCCAGCAGCTGGGACAGCCTTAGGAGGCACCCTCTAGATGGCCCAGGGCGACTTGCATGTGGCGTCGGTGCCCCAGGGCGGGGGCCGAGTGGGTCTGCTCCCCAGACAGAGTCCACAGCCCCTCGCCAGGCAGCCTGGCTGTCCGGGGAGGCCTGGAGGAGCTGCAGGAAGTCGAGTCAATCAGAAAGGGAAGGGAAGGGCCCAGCTGGCTCATCCGTGGCCCGTAGCCTCCCCCTGGACACGTGGGGGCCTCTCTAATGGTCTCCCCACTGAGACTGCACATGTCTGCACACCTAGCCCAGCACAGGGCTCCACGGCCTGCACACGGGACCAGAGCTGGTACCAGAGACGACCCCGTGCACCATCCCGCTGGGCTTACGGGTGTGTGGGGTGGCAGGGGTCCCCCATGTGCCCCAGCAGCCCGGGGTGTCAAGGCTCCAGGACAGCCTCCCGCAGAGAGGAGCTGCCTGTGCCCCCAGTCCCTCCCACCACCACCGGGCCAGGCGTCTCCCAAGCTGAGAGGCCCCCTGACTCCCTGTCCCCTGCACCTGGCTCCGCTCTGCAGGCTGGGTTCTCCTGCCCCAGGCAGGGCCCCAGGACTGCAGGTCTGAGCCCAGGCCTGCCCGCCCCCACAATGCACTGCAGCACGGCTCCACTTCCAAGCTGCTGGTTCGCTGCAACGCAAGGAACCCACCGAGGCCTCCACCCCGGATGGGGCAGCACCGAGGGGCGCCGAGTGCCCTGGCCCTGCACCCAGGCTGCCTGGCTCCCTGACAGGGGCCTTCGACATTGGCTAAACCGCCTGCCTGTGTCTCCGCTTCCCCTCCTGCCAGACTCAGAGGACCAGGGCACTGCCTCACAGGTCACATGTGAGGGTCTGATTGGCTAACTCACTGAAAGCACTTAGAACCAGGCCTGAAGTGGATAAGGGCCCCGAAAATGTCAGCTGTGTCGAAAACCCTCTCGCAGTGGAGACACGACTCCAGGAGGCACCCCTGCCCTGGACGGAGACGCGGTGACAGAGCAGAGTGGTGGGGAGGAGCCAGCGCCCGCACTTCATGGTGGGAGCACTGAGGACAGGACTGTCACTCACGGTGGCGGACTCACCAGCCCAGGGGGCACATTTCCACTCTCTTTTAGCCTAGGAGCAAACGGAGCTTCCAGGAGGTGCAGTGGCTTCAAGGTCACAGCTAGGGAGGGACCGATATCCACACTGACCCCAGGTCCCCTGCCTGCACGTTTCCCGTGCCTCTCTCCAGTACGTGTCTCACTCCACTGGACCCACCGACGACTCTGAGAGCAAGCCCGTGACCCCGCAGAGAAAGCCGAGGCGTGGTGAGGAGAAGGGCTAGGGCGAAGCTGGAGAGCAGCCGCTTGGCCACATCACTTGGGGTCCCCAGGCCTGGGCTCGGAGTACGGTTTCCTGGGGCGAGCTCTAGGCTTCAGACGGAAAGTCTGTAAAGAGCCCCAGAGGGGCTGCATGCCCACCGAGGCCCACCAGGCAGAGCCCCTCCGCAGGCTGTCGGGGCAGCTCGCACACACGCCCGACCAGCCTGCCTTTTAGAAGGAAGAGTTAACTGATGCCTTGGCCCCAGCCCTTTCAGGGCTCCCTGCTGTCCACCTCTTACAGTGTAATTGTGAAAACTGGAAACTCCCTGGTATTCTCACGTGAACTTCGGCCTCTGAGAGGGCGACACTGAGTTAGGATTTTTCAACAGTGACATCTTGTGGCCACTTTGAGAAATGCAAGGCCAAACCCAGGAGAGAAGCCTGGGCGCTTCCAGGTTAGACTTCGACCGAACACCCGGACACCCTCCCACCCTCCCACCCCGGGTCAGGGCCGCTCTCCTAGAGGCTTGGCTGGTCCTGTGGACAGCCACTGACATCCCAGGGGGCTGGAGGGGGTGTGCTCTGAGCCGGCCCCTGTCTTTCCAGCGCCTGGGCTCTGCCCCTTCTCTGACCTGGGCCATCCCCCCGCCCAGTGAGTGAGCCCTCATGCTCCCCAGCTGCCGTGGCCTTCAGGGCAGAGAAAGACGATCAGGCCCCGCTGTCTTCACGCGAACAGGCTCTGCAGTGCGCACTGGACACACACTCCCTGGGGCCCCTGGCGTTCAAACCGCCTTCCTTACCGTCCTAAGGACCTTCCCCTGCAGGTGCCACACTCCTGTCTGCGTCACCCACGGCTCCCCCTGAGGGACCCAACCAGAGCGCCATCAGGCTCTCTCCAGACCACACGTGCATGGGACCCAACCAGCAGGGGATTATCAAGTCTATGAACAGATCTACGAATTATTATCACTTAAGAATTATTATTTGATAATTAAAATGGATCTAGTTATATTACATAATAATTATACTTAATAATGGGTCTCGTTATATTACAGTAATGATTATATTTAATAATGGGTCTGGTTATGTTACATTAATAATCATATTTAATAATAGCAGGTCTAATTATTATGCAATATAATCAGGACATTTAATGACTGAATGTGTCTAACGGAATAACCATCAAATCTATAAACGGGTCTGTGCTGCCTCCCCAGCAGGTCTGGAGCATCAGCTGCGCACGCACACACACGTACTCACACTCACGCAAACTTACACACATGTCTTACATATGACTTACATTTACATACATCGCTCTCCTCACGCTCAGTAAACATACACACTGAGGGCAACGCCCTGAGCAGCAGACAACACACACTGACACCTGGGAAAGGTGGGCGCCAGGGCACACGTAGAGGTGGTAAGCTCCTCCCTGCCCACCTTGGCGGCCACCTGTGTGCCCCATGCTGCAGACCGCTGCTCGGGCTGTACCCGCCGGCCAGGGTGTGGGACCACACAGCCACCTTGTCCTTGGGGCCCATCTGCCCAAACCGCTAGGTTCCCACCAACTCCCAGACCAAATGTGAAAAGCAAACTGTTAGGACACCTGGAACCTGGCAGCTCTCCTGGAGACGCTGCCACCTCTACACTCTGTGGGAAAATGAAAACAGGAAGGGTGAACACCCTCTGGGATGGCAGACTCAGGTCTGGGGGGCCCGGAGCAGGGGTGCCCCCAGGGGACACAGAGCCCCGCCCAGGGACAAGTTGTGGTGGTCACACGCAGGTGTGTCACTGCCCTGGGTGGGTAGGCGGGTGGCAGGGGCACTGCAGACATCATGTAATACGCAGAGCAGCGCCCCCAACGATGAACTGCCTGGACCCACGGAGCCAGGAGCATACGGAGGCCAGATGCCATGGTTTGGGAGAAGACCTGGAAGGCTGGCTGTCCTGCCCAGTGCCACTGTGTAAGAGCTGTGTGGCCTTGGGCCATCACTGGACTCTATGGCCAGGGAAGCATCCACTGAGGAAAGCCTTCCTGACAGGGGGAGCCCCCCATCCCCCCAACCTCCAACCCCACAGCTCCAGCCCCAGCTGCACAACAGAGCTGCCCAGTGCCCGGGCTGCACCCCACACCAGTAAACGTGACCCTCTGCAGGCAAATGCCACGCCCGGCCCAACACGGAAGCCCGTCCCACCTGCCGCAGCACTTGATGGCACCTGCCCACCCCCCAACCAAGGAAGGTCACCCCAGGACCCTGTGGCTGCATCTGTTTACAGTGAGTCTGCACCACCTCTGATGTACTCTCTGCCTCTCCCAGTATGTGTGCGGGAGCCAGCCCGAGCTCACCTTTACCTGTGGGGCCAGGTCTTGCCATCCTGTTAGGACACCTTCCCCACCACAGGTCCCCCACAAAGAAGGAGCAGGTGGAAGGACAGTGGAGCCTTCAGACCAAGTGGTGGCCACCACTGCTGTGCCAGTTTGGGAGACGAGGCGGAAGTAACAGAGACTCCGCTGTGCACAGCTGACTGCGAAGTAACACGACTCACTGCTCAGGGAGAGGCCCTGACCCTCCTTGGCCAGGGGCAGAGCCAAAGTCACAAAGGGAAGCGCTGCCCTCTGAGGGGAGGCCACGGCCCGCAGCGACGCACAGGTGGTCTCACGGAACAGGGCACTAGGTATCAAGGGACCGTGGGGCCACCGCTCAGAGCAGCCCACCAGCTTTATTACACACACACGGCCTTCCCCGGTACCGCACAGCCCGCAGTCCCCACTGCCACACAGGACCCACGCAGGACGCTGAGGTCTTCGGGGTTTTGTCATCAGCAAGAGAATTCACCTGTCCCTTTTGAATACCATTTCTGAGCAGTTCCCAGGACTGGCTTTTCTGTGTCCGAGACCCCCCACCCCCAGCCCAATACTGACTAAGTCAATAACCTTCATACAGCCTTCTATCACTACAGCGTTCAGGGAGCTCTGTGCCCTAAAAATAGCTTGAGGCGGGACCGAGAGAACCGGTGTCTGGAGAAGCCACACCTGGTGTGTCACTGGGCCTCTGGGCCGGCCGCCTGCTCCGGGGTGTGGGCGTCCTGTGGGGGCGGTGCGCGCTCCCCCAACACGGTGCACGCGTCCTTCCGGGGACTCCCCGTCACCAGCACCCAGTGGTTCCTGGGCTTCTCCGCCCTGTGCGAGTCCAGGTGGGTGTGAGCAGCGACCTCCGCTTCCTTTCCAAAGTATGTCCTGGGGCAGGAGAAGAGGAACACGGTGGGGAGGCAGCTCTCTGCACGCAGCCTGTGTGCCTGGAAGCCTCACCCCATTGGGCACCCTGCGGGGGAGGGGGGACCCACGATGGCTAGAAACCTCCCGAGCTGCAGAGACTTGTGTAGCGGAAGGGGCTCCGACTGGACCTCGGCCGCCAGGAAGCCCCACGCACAGCGCCCCCTGGTGGAAGGGCGGCCTGGTGTGCCGCCGCACGTCAGATGGAGCCCCTCTGCTGAGCGACGCAGCACACCCTCCCCCGGTGGCGTCCACAGTGCCCTGAGACACAGTACCTTAAACAGAGGTGCCGATGAGCAGCCAGTCCCCGGTTCGTGTGGCAGTGATTGATGAGAATTTTGCGGTTTGCCTTTAAAAGTAAGGAAGAATGTTATCTGCATTATGAGTTAAGGCCCCCGATCTCCTGAAAGCAAACATCGGTGAATGCACTGCACACTCACCTCAATTCACTCCAACATACACACGGAATGACTGGGGGACAAAGCGTGACAGGCGGAGGGAGCGCACCAGCATAGACGCGGCACGGCCGAGAAGCATCACACAGGCCCCCAGCCACCTGGACACGGTCTCGGACCATGAGGTGCGGTCAGGGGGTGGCTATGCAGGCTTGGTGAGAACGCCCCTGATGTGAGTGCCGCCAACCCCTTGGGCCGCATTCTCACCACCCCGGCTCTGCACTCGAGGAAACCGAGGCACTGACAACCTCACTCTCGGAAACACAGGCAATCCCGCCGACAGCAAGGCTGGGTGAAGGCCAGCGGAACGGGGGAGTGCGTCAGGTGTCCATCGCCTTGGACCATGAGTGGACTGTCCACACATGAGACAGAACCTTGTGACCTGGGTCCAGGGTAGAGCTCAGGGGGCAGGGGCTTCAGAGGGGGGGAGGGGCCTGCCTGGACAGCCACCTCGGAGGGCCGACCCTCTGTAACCGCACACTCTCCCACCGGGTTCTAACAACTCTGCCCTCGGGATGGATGCCTTCCCGCCCTCGGCACCGCTCCGTGCCCACCAGCCCTGTCTTCTCACGAGGCCCACACCACGGTCCGTCCTGCAGGGCCCAGGGTCCCCAGAAGACACCCAGCAGTGAGGACAGAAAGGCGCTGCCTGCGGGACCACCATGATCACCTGCACAGCGCCCCACTCTCCCTTCACTTGCCCACGATGCCCCAGTGTCCTTAAAACTGAGGACGCAGTGTCAGCATCCGTGCGACCTCAGGCCAGAGCCCTCAGCCCACCCTCAGGGCCAGCCCGGGGTTTTCACACAGCTCTGTAGATGACCCTACAGAGCAGGCAGAGTTGAGAGACACGGGTGCAGAAAGCTGCCACAGGGCAGGACGGTGCCCTCCAAGCTCGAGATACAAACGCAGGGACAGAGAGAGAGAGAAAATACAGGCACATAAGGTCCTGGAGCCACCACGAGCCCCGATTCAAAGACGGCAGGAAAGCACCTCCCCCCACAGCATGGTGCACCCCTCTGCCTTCCCCGGCTGTGCTCACCGGGATGGGGACGCCTTCGTGCTCCAGGCGCAGCTGGGGGTCGGGGAAGGCCGCCTGCCAGCAGTTCAGGTAGGAGACTTCATCTGTCAGGTACACCTCCTGGAGCCAGGACCTCTTGGACGACTTCAGCAGGGTCCTGTGGTCACTTGATAGATACAACTGCAAAGGACAGCAAGCAGATGAACGTGCTCTACTACCGGAAAATCTGGGAAATAGGAAGCAATTGGCTGGCTGATGGCAAGCGTGCCTAAAACGATTCTCATAATCCCTGTTCTCAATGACCGTATGAGGAGGTTCGCTTTCCCTCCACCTCAGTCAGAAAGGCCACCCTGGATTCCGTTGGCCTCGAACTGCTGCGTCCTCCGGACGTGCTGCACGCACCTCCTGCTCCGTCCCCACTCCCGTCCCCACTCCTCCTTTCTCAGGGCACTGGGCCTGTATCAGGTGTGGATTTGTTTATTACAAACAATGTTGCATGAAGCTTGTTGTGGAAGTGAAGTGATGAAATTTTATTTTATCAATAAACACAAATTTTTTAAATAAATCAATCCCAAATGGACCAAAGAATAAACTTAAGGAAAAGTTAAATTTTACACATCCAGAAGTTAAAACAAGTTTTTCTTTTCATTGTATCTCTGGTGCAGACTTGAAAGGCTCTGGGCAATGGAAGTAATTACAAAGGAAAACATCCACAGATTTTACTCAGAAATAAAACAGGAACAGCTACAACTTGAAAGCCAAGTAGCAAGTGGGAGGATGTGTCAGCAACAGACACCATGGAATGCTATGAAAACCTAAGGGGTAACCAACCAAAGAGCAGACGGCTCACAGCAGAGAGGAGGTGGCAAAGAGAAAGGGAGGAGGAAAAGAGGGAAAGGAAAAAGGAGGAAAAAACGAAAAGGGAAAAAAAGACATTTACCATTGCAGTGCTTGTCATTTTTCCTATATCTGGAATCCGCTCACTCTCCCTCACAGAAAAGAACTGAACTTGGAGTGCTAATCTCTGGGTAAGAAAGACGATGTGCGCTCACTGCCCTCTTTGGACCACCTGGTGACTCTGCTAACTTCTAACATTCAAAATCGGCAGTGGGTCGCCCTGGCCAGTGTGGCTCAGTTGTTTGGAGCACCGTCCCTTAACCAAAGGGTCGCGGTTCAATTCCTGGTCCTGACCATGTGCCTGGGATTCAGGTTTGGTCCCCTGTCTGGGCTCACACCCCCAGTCTGGGTGTGCAAATCCTCCATCCAGATGGGTACAGGACGTAAGCAATCCATGCTTCTCTCTCTCCCTTCCTCTCTCTCTAAAAGCAATGAAATCCTCAGGTGAGGATGAAAAAATTTTTTAAAGTAAATAAAACCAGGCAGTAGCTCAGCAAAAACACTATGGTGCCGGCTCTGCCACTCCGTAACTGAGTGACGCGGAGCGAAGCCCTTCACCTTCTTGTGCCTCGGCTTCTCTAGCAGTAGAAGAGGGATGCACGTGTCTCCATCAGAGTTTCTGGAGGAGTGAGTTCCCGCACATGAAGCACCTAAGCATGCAGGAAGGTGCAATAACCCCCACTTTTACAGATGAGAGAGACTCAAAAAGGTTAACAAATTACCAGAGTCCCATCCCCTAGGTACACATCTCAGCCGGAATTCAAGCCCAAACTTACCTGGCTCTGTTTCTCCCCTAACCGCGCAGGCAGAGGTAAAGATTGAGGAGTTATGCTGATTTATGGAAACTTAGGCAGTTTGACAGTAAAAGCACTGGTGATGTTAAACAGTTGTCAGATTATTATCATCATATAGTCTAATCACTCAATTTACGGGTGAAAGTGGTATAAACTTTTACTTTTTGCCAGCTGCATGGAAAATAAGGCTTTCTCCACTTTAAGGGTGTATTTCTGAAGTTTTCGAAGTGAGGAGGAGGAACGGGCCCAAACCTGCCTGTGAAGAGCTGCAAGGATGGAGCCCGCGCCTGCAGTTCTCCGTCTACTTCAGAAGGAGACCGCTAGCTCACATGGAAACACACAACACAACGACTCACCATGGTGTCGTCAAATCCCCTCACGATCCCGAGGCGGAAGTTCTGCCCGAATCGAAGGATGTCACCGGTGGCCGCTGGCTCTGCACTATCCATGAAGAGGAAGTCGGATGTCACCTCTCTGAGCGACAGCCCTTCCACAGCTCTGTTCTTCACGTGTGCAATTTTGTTTATGAGTTTCTTAGTAAAGTACACTCATGTACCACACCTGAATCACCTCGCTCAACCAAAGGTCTTCCTTTTGGTCTTCAAGTCCAGCCAGCATCCTACACCCTGCCTTCCAACACGGCTGGTACACGGAACACCCCGCACCATCAGCCTCAAGGGCACTGAGCAGGTCACCCTGCCCCACACTGAGGAACTGGGTCAGGGGCACTCACATCAGAGAGAAACGCAGTAAGGATTTTGGAAAAATTTAATGCAGTCCTCTCTCTTAATCCTCCAAAAAAACGAAATTGTCTTCATGTAAATTACCTGTATTCAAAAGAAGTCTAAATTAAAGATTTAAAGAGGCTGGGCCCTGGCTGGTGTGGCTCAGTGGATTGAGCGCTGGCCTGCAAACTAAAAGGTTGCTGGTTTGATTCCCAGTCAGGACACATGCCTGGGTTACAGGCCAGGTCCCCAGTAGGGAGCATGTGAGAGGCAACCACACACTGATGTTCTCTCTCTCTCTTCCCCTCTCTCTAAAAATAAATAAATAAAATCTTTAAAAAAAAACAAAAACTTCGAGGACTGGCTATATTCCTGTAATATAAACATGGCCATCACAATTTAGTAACTAAGTGAAAGCAATGTTTTTAATTGTAATTTTCGAAATCTCCTCAAGTACACCTATAGTGAACGATGAATTTTTAAATAGTAATTCCTCACATTAGGCACCCTTGCATTCAACAATGTGTTTCTGGTGTAAAATAACATGGCAACATTGAAAACAACGGGAGCCCTCAAATGGGCTCCAGGCACTCGGATGTGGTATTAGGAAAACCCACTTTGCTTCTAAAAGAATATGAGATCAGTTCCCTGGATGCAATGCCCTTGAATGTGAGCACGTTGAACTGAACACAAATTTCAACTTCCTGATCTTTAGAGGAAAGGGTTGGTGAAGGCCCCCGGACGGTGATTCCCAGGGTGATAAAGCCAGAACGCTCAGAGAGCTTCTGCCTCCAATCAGCCCTGCTCCAATCCAGGACGTCCTCAAGCTACAAGCAAAAACAGACATTTCTGACAAAATTTTAAATACCTTTACCTCAAAATGATGAAAGTGTTTCTGCCCACCGGGATACTGGTTGGCGCCGCGCTCAGGCCACAGGGCACCTCAGGCGCGTCGCTCAGATGGGCTCTGATCTCATCGGGAGCCAAACACAGGCTCAGGTCCCCTCTGAGAAACAGGTCGGCTTCGGTGTCGGGATAATCCGGGTTCACAAGCATCACGCTGTCGCCGTGGTGAACGTGTCCATCCTCAGATATGGAGAGCTGAGTCTACAATGGAAACAGAAGTGTTTCTATTCAAACCGTGAGGTTCCTGAACGGCCAGTGCCCAGGCTGCTGACGGACTCTCTCCTCCTCTGAGTCGGACCAGCTCAATATGTGGTTCCCTCGGACTCCCTCGAACCTCAGTCTTCCTTTTCCTGCCACCAACCTGCTCCCCATGAGCCAAATGGAAGCCCCCAATAACCCAAATGAAGTACAATGAAACTGATGAAAAAATCACACAGGTTGATTTTTTCAACATTTATTCAACATTGACTGAACTCTCTTCAGTGCCAACTGAGGGGCATTTCCTTTTATTAATCCATGTATTAATGTCATTATTTCTTAATGCAGGTTAACATAATTAACAGCAAACTTCTCTTAAGTTTCTGAAATTCTTGGGAATTTTGAACATTGTGGGTTTCCAATCTAAAGGGGAAAATTGGTATTTTCCAAATAACTCATTTACGGAATTCTCACTTGTTTAATATACACTCACACTTAACAGAATTTTGAAAACAGTATTTGGAGTTAAAATTACCGGTCTCAGAAGGTTCTCTTTCAGTCTTATGCTTCTCTGTATGAGAAGTTGCCCCTTATCCCTCTTCTCTAAGAAGTCTTTCATGAGCTCCTGGGGGGGGGGGGGGGGGGGGGGGGGAACACCAGTGAAACACAAACAGTCCTAAATAACAAACGTACTGAGAACAGAAAAAGAAAACTGAGCATCATGGGAAGGATGAAAATTTCTGTGGCATTACTTTAATATTTTTATTTCCTTGCACAGTATTCAGAAAAATGACAAAGACATGAAAAGGAAGAGTCACCTGTAATAACTCACCTAACGCCAGTCAGGGGCAACACTTGGAGGCATGTGGCCTCCACTGAGGTCCCCAGGTGGCTTGACACTGAAAGACCCTTCCCCGCCTCTGGCGTCAGGGAAGGTTGGGAACAGGGACACCACAGAGACACTTGGGACAGCACGTGTGACACAGCAGGTCACGTGAGGGGGCAGTATTTCTGGTGAGAGCAGGCCTCCTCACCTAGACTGCAGCCTCTGGGACTATAAGACTTTAGAGAACAAAGGGAAAAGAACTCAGAGGGGCTCCAGACTAAGGGGAAGCACAAGTGGGAGGCTAGGGGTTGGAAGGGCTTGAGGGTCAAGGCACCAAGTCTGAGAGGCCAAAGAACCTAAGGAAAGAATAGAAGAGCAGAGGCCTGGGTCTGTGAGACCTCAGGTGATTCCTGGATGGTCAGTGAAGGACACGCGAGCTGTGCTAGGGGAGAAAGGGGCCTTGGGTGCTCAAAGTCCATCCACACTTAGGGAATGCCTGGAGGTCCCGGAGCAGCAGGGGCGCCGCCCAGCCACATCCTCACCTCCTCCAAGTAAACGTCCTCATTCCAGTTGCCCATCCGGACCCCGTGACCATAGAAGTTCTGCGCCATCCCCTTCCCGGGATGCGGCTGTTAGCGTCCCCGTCGCCATGACGACCTGGTCACCTGCGATTGGCCAAGGCGCCGGCCCTGTCAGCCAATGAGAGGCAACACATGAGTTGCGCAGGCCCTGCCCCGGGAGCTTTGCTTCCAACCTGCCCTATTTGCGTTAACTGTCTAGCAGGCGAGAGGAAAACGGGAGCCTGGCGACCTCGTTGTCCTAACTGCTCTCTGGAGAGAAACGTGAAACTACTTTTCTTCCAGACTCTAAATGCGAACTGTTGTACTAGGAGGGTGTCCCTTCTTGTTACGGCCACAGAGGAACGGTGACAGGAAGCCACGGCTTGTTTGCAGCCTGTTTATAATCTGGAGCAGCACCAATCTTACCCTAATAGCAGAATAATACGGGCTCAGTGTAAAACCCGAAATAGCATAGAAGGCGGGGGGAGGGGTTACTCAGAGTCTCACTGCCTCAAAAGAAAGAAACACACCACATTAGCATATTCCTATTTACGTGTTGTGAGGTGGTTCATATTTTTATGGGCTCAACAGCATTTTCTCTCCCTCTCCAGCTCTCCAAGTACGAGGACAAACCTATGATGTGCAAGAAGCCGTGATAAAACCGGAATGCGTAGGAGCCAGCATTTGTTAAAAGGCTATTTTATGAAGAGAAGGTTTCCACAGAAGGACCTGGAGCTGGGGCGACGCTGGCTGAGTGCATGGCCATGTGTACTGAGTGCACGATGCTGGCCGTGTGCACTCAGACAGGACGGAGACAGGACAAGGGGGCCTTTCTCATCCGAGCACACAGGTCCTTCAGGAGGGCGGAAGAGCGGCCACGAGCAGTCAGAGAAGGGCCACGGGGTTTGAGGAAAGACCCTGCTCTGCCTCGGGTTGGAAACTGACACTCGGGAGGTGCATGGGGGGGGGGCGGTGTTCTGGGAGGGGGACTCTCCAGCCAATCTTGAAGGGCACGAGTTTAGAAACAGTCTCACATATCCGTGGGTCCACCAGCTCAGCCAGGACAGTGCCATATCCTAGGACTACCTGCCTCCAACCTGAAGAAGCTCCTTTGGTTTTCTGGTAAAGCGGGTCTACCAGCAACACCGTCTCATGGTTTTTCCTTACCTGCTTATTGCACCTTCACTTTTTAACACAGTTTTACTAGGAACTAAGACTTTCCTTACAGTTTTTTCTTTCAACATGTTAAATATGCCATCCTCCTGCCTTCTGGCTTCCTCTTCTCTAATGAGAACTCAGATCTTAACCTTAACGGGGTTGCCTTGGTGGCCTGCTAAGTGTCTCGCACAGGCTCTTGCTGCTTTCAACACGTCCTCCACCCTTGACTTTCATCATTCCGACTATGGTCTGGGAGACGATCTCTGCATGTTTAGCCTTCGTGGACCCTGCCGAGCCTCATGGAGGTGTAGACTGCTGGTTTTACTTTCATCAAATTTGGGGTCTGCCATTATTTCTTTGACTATTCTTTCCTGTTCCTCTCCATCCCTCTTCTCCTTCTGGGACTCCCATTACATGTATGTTAGTGTGCTTAATAGTGTCCTCATTTCTCTAAGGCTGCATTCATTTCTCTTTTTTTCTCTGGTTTCAAATTGCATGATTTCTGCTGATTTATCTTCCCATTTGCTCATTTCTTCTTCTGTCAAGTCCAATCCAGTACTCCACCTGCCTAGTAAATTTTTCATTTTGGTTATAACACTTTTCAACTCCCGAATTTCCCCTGGGTTCTTTTATCATTTTGTTCTTGATATCCCACACTTGCTGAGACATGGTCACCATATCTTCCTTAAATTCTCTAATCGTGCTTTCCCTGAGTTCTTTGAGCCCGTTTATAACAGTTTTCCTGAGGTCTCTGTCTGCCGTGTTCAACAGTCGGGCCCTTCTCAAAGTGCATCTTTCCCTCTGTGGTAGGGGTCACACTTTCCTGTTTCTCGGCCGGTCTTAAATTGTTTTGTGAAAACTGAACACTGTAAGTAGAACAGCGTCTGGACTGGGCATGTGGAGTCCTCACCCCGATACCTGTTGTTTGCTCCTCTGCTGAGGCCTCCGTTGCTCAGTGACCTCGGCTGAACTGGCTGAGTGAGGCCTACTCCCCAGCAGCTTGCGGCCCTCTGTCGCCACCATGCTGGGGTGAAGCGGGAGTACCCAGAGTCCCCTGACCCCGTGAAGGAGTCTCCTGATACACAAAATAATGAAGGGAAGGATCTCACAACTTACAGCACAGGTGGATTTCGAATCCAGGTGATAATAACAAAACTATAAACAAACATTTAGGGAGTTGTTTTAAAGCATATTTTACAAATTTTGAAGAAAATTATTTTTAAAAAATATATAAAATGGTTATTTTAAGTACAGAAAATTTTAAATTTGCATTCTTCAAAACCTCCAAGCTAAGACGAAAACATAAATGCACTCTTATGTTGCAAGTCACTAAGTAACTGACTCAAGCTCTCATTTAGCAAGAAAGATCTTCAGCTCAAGCCACCGACCCCTTCCCTGTGTGGTCATGAGTTTTACGTAAACTGGGTATATACTGGAAGACTTACTTAATTTTTTTTTTCATGATTTCATGAGGCTCTTGGAAAAATTTCACTGGAGCCTTTTGTTACTTACTTGTGAAACATCTGGCAGGAAAAGCCAAAGAAATACTTGGACAGCATCATTTTTAGAAAAGAGAAGTGGGACAAAGTTCAGATATTGGGAAAGAGAAATGAATGAGAGCTATTAACCTCAGACGCAAGGAACTTTCAGGATGCTGAAAGTAAGTTTCTACGTCGTCTGTGGATGACAAATGTGGTAAGTCATCGGGGTGCAGCACAGAGAAATCGGGACTGAGGTCCTGTCCCTCAGCTGCGGCAGCCCATCCGCCTCTGAGCCTCGTATCTGCACTGACGAGCGTGGGGTGAACATGCCTTTACTGGTAACTCGGAAGCACTCCCAGCGTAGTCTGCAACGTAAACAGAGGCAGCGGCTCTGGGAACAGTGCTGCCTCACCTTATTGGACGCCCTGAAAATACGACGACTCCAAATTCCACATCAAGGATATTATACCAAGGAGATATAATGTAACTCTATACATAATATATATCTATTATATATAATAGATATAATATAACTTTAATGGAAAGAAAACTGCAAAAACCCAAACCCCAAATATCCAAAATGCCACACGGGGTTTGGCAGCAGGAGCTAGAAAGAGCCCAGTGGCCTTCCTGAGAGCAAGAAGAAGGCTAGTGTCCCATCAGGCAGCTGGCACCCAGGGGCAAGGGGGGGAGTGACCAGGAGAACAGGGGCTTCCTGGGGAAGATGCTGAACTCCCCAGCAGCGCACAGACAGGGCTTCCAGTCAGCACTCCAGACCTCTGACAGCAGGAGGCTTTGGGGTACTTAGACTGCGGGAGTAAATCACCAGAAATCACTCCAAATCACTGCTCCTTCCAGTGAGGGAGCCCCTTTTCCAACAGCAGGAAGACAGAACTCAATCACATAAAACACACAAATAAAAGTGGGTGGTCTTACAGTTGGCAGAAATGGCAAGCGCCCAAACACCCATCCTGTCCCCTGGAGGACCCTATGCACCTGCAGAGGGCAGTGTGGGAACCGCTGATGGATTTTACAGGAAAGACAATCGAGGCTTCCAGAGCGGGAGTCAGTTCTGAGGGCTACGGGCTCTACGTGGGGGGAGACCAGGACTGGAGTCAAGGCCACCGCCTCTCAGCCCAAGGCTTTGCTCGCCGGCTCTCACTGGTCCACACCAGGGGACCAGGGGGCACTGCTCACCCATTTACCACTGACCTGATCATCTCGTCCTCTGGTCAGAAGAAAGTTCTGGACTTTATGGCTTCAGAAAGATACAAACAGAAGCATTTCGCACACTGAGGACAAGACTGAAAATGCTGCAAGGGTAGGCCTGTTTGGGTCCATTTCTCCTATTCTTCTACCACAGGAAAGCAGAGATCACAGAAGTGTCTGACAGCAGGACAGTGCACCCCGACCCTTACAGTACAACGGGATGAGAAGATGGACCGGTGCCAGGAAATTCTCAAGATACCGGGTGGACGTGCACAGAAGTGTATCAGCACGAAGACACATGTCCCCAAACCGCCAGCTTTTCCAGTCCCTTCAGTGTGCTGGGGAAAGACAGCGTGTCCCTGCACTTTGAAAACGAGGAAACAGAAGCCCAGAGAGGTCATGGGAGACACCGAGTTGGCACGACAGCCAGAACTGCGTGCACCACTGGAGCGCAGGGAGATGAGGAAGGGGAAAGAACACAGAGAAACGAGGCCTTGCACTTCACAGCATTCCCAGAGCCCAGGGCACTTGCCTGCACAGCATTTCGTTCGGGTGGCGCCATGACAAGAGACTGGTAAACAATCGCATGTTCCATGGCTAGCTCTGTGATTGACAACACAGGCTCTGGGGTCAAATGTACCCAGTTCAAATCCCAGGACTAACCACCTGCAGGCCGTGCATCCCTTGGTCAATGGCATGACTACTCTGTGGCTTAGCTGCTCCATCTGTGAAATGAGGAAATAATAATAATAACACGCACTTCCTGTTGTTACTACGATACACAAGCATGGTGATGCAAGTGACACCTGGGCACAGGGCCTAGGACACAGCAGGCACTTGGTAGACGCTCCTGCCTGTCATTCTGAAAAGACAGACACCGAGAACAGCTCAGCCAAGTAGGCTTCTGTTTGCAACGCTCACAAGTGGGAAGGCAAAGACCAGACCGGGGGAAGAGAAGAGGCGAAGGCCGGCCAGCTAGTGTCGTCGGAGCGGGAGGGTGAGCCCAGGACTCCTGGTCACATGTGACCACCAGGCTCCCAGTGAGAAGCTGGGACATGAAGCATGTCCTCCACATATAACTCACTGGTAAGGCACTGAAGGGTCCTTCGGTACAAAGAAAACTGCGGCACAGGAAGTTAATCATCTACAGAGGTGCACTTCTGCTCTCTCTCGGGTGAGATCTTCACCCCGAGTGGGGGACCGGCACTGCCCAGAGAGCTGAAGCCAGCGCCACTCTGACCCCAAGTCCGTGGGTTCCTGCGTCCCCCCACTGTGGCTCTC